TGTGCATAAATGATAATTTCTGTTCGAATATTCTGTAGCATGAAGTCAGCTTTATGTAACGCTGTAGACGAGCATTATTCACGGCATCACAGTACTGACAGACAGCTTGAGCTTGGCAGTGGCGTGTTGTTGCATCAACATTTTCCTGCTAATTGACAACCCGACGGGCAGTTGAAATTTGATAAACCTGTTTTTAAATTAGTTTTGGTATGATGAAATGCAGCAAAGTTTCTGTTTAGTAAATTTAAGAAACAAATCAGGCGAAAAGTCCGAGTCGCACTTCTCTCTCACCAGAATGCCATTTTCTCTGATGCGGGCCGATAGCCTCACACCTGGGGCGCAATTTTCTACACTTTGGCGCATTTCTTTGTATTTTTTGTTGCGTTTTCTGCCGGCTTGGTCCAAGCCCCTTATCATTTATCAGAGCTCAGCAAAGATCAAAAGCAGTAAATGGCAAGTATGAGAAAACTGAATAGAAGAGGAGCAACCAGAGGTTGAAAAAAAGATAGCGAGACTGAGAGGGAGGTTGAGAGACAAAGTGAGGAGCAGGCAGTTGAGCTTTAAGCGCAGTTTGTTATGTGGGTTGACCGGGTGATTGCGATTGTGGCTTGACTGGTTTTTGGAAGGTCTCTTCTGCCATGCCATTTGTTGGAAATGAAACTAATTTCGTTGATTGTGACGGCAAAGCATTGCACAAGCATCGACAGTTGATATATGGGCTCAGCGGACAGCATTACATCCTGGACAATTGCCTCACTTGGATGACTTAAAAAGACTTGATAAATTACACTGAGAAAAATTACAACTACTGTTTGGAAATGCTGCATGCCATAAAATGACCGAGATGCAAGAACAATGTTAAAAAACTACTAAAAAAAATAAAAGTATAAATAAAGCTTGAAGGAATAGAAGAGCTATGGATGCAGGTCGAAGTACAGCGTGAGGAAAGTGATGAAAGCGGAACTGGTTGTAACATATCGGTCTGCTTATTGCAACTATGGCAAAAGCCCAACAGCTTGAAGCTACGGCTAAAGGTACAGTTTGAGGAGCAGCTTTAGATAAATCCGGATTTAAATAGAGAGGGAAAAGAGAGTTATTGACAGTCAAGTCTGTATACAAAGAAGTAAACAAAAGCTAGATTCACACATAGAACTAGTTGCTCAAGTTTCACATATTGCAATTATTCAAAAATATCACTTCTTTACTATCTCGAAAATGTTGCTGTAACTTAAATTAGTTCCAAAGTCAGTTCATCTATTATATGCCCTACTCATTGTCTTATTCAAAGAAATTTTATCAATTTTCCCTCACGTTTCTTAATACCATTTCTATACCTTTTCAGTGCAGCTCTGTCACAAGCCACGCGTTGATTCCAAGTGAACAATTTATCTATCGCCACCATACTTGAAGCTTTAAGTCCTTGCAAAACTTTTAGCCAGTCGCCTTGCCCCGAGCGCACCTGAAACCAATCGGCCAACACTTTCACCTGCCTTCTCCTGAAGCTGCCGCCTCAGCTACCGCTGTCACATTTCCCGCATAGCTTAACTGGCCAGATCCAATGCTCTTTCTCTTTATGACATTTTATTATACCAATTAGACTGAGCCGCCATCGCCTTGGGCTTGGCCATTGTTCTCATTCGCATTGTTCGCTTTGGGTTATTTCTTTTTCATTTTTGCTTCTAGTTTTTTTTTACATTTTGTTTTTTTATTTTCACACCTTTTTCACCTGCTGACTGCTCGGAATTTATGGCCCTCGATTGTGTTTTAACATTTATTCATGCGCAGAGGAAGCAGCTGCACCAGCAATAGCAACCTTTGTCCCGTTCCAGCGGGTTCTCTGTTCCTGTTTTTTGCTGCAAACACTTCACTTGCAGCACAGTTTTCAAATGTGCAACACTTGCCACCAGCAGCTGTTCTTGTAATTGTTGTACTTGTTGACACCTTGTTGCCACTGCTCGGCGCCCAAATGACATTTACATTTTGAGCACATAATGTTGTTGTTGTTGAGCGCTATGTGATAATTGCGAACACTTCAATTGCAACAGCATGTTGTTGCCAACTAACAACTTCCTGCACTTCTAGGCAACAAATTGCATTTCATGACTTTAATTGTCCAAAGCTGAAATTAAAGCCCAAGAACTTCAAGATATATACAAATATATGTATATATTCACTTGGCTAAACCATTTGTCAATGACCGCACGGAGAGGAAATAAATACAAAGCCAACAATACAAACTTGGTAGATCTGGGCGAAACCTACTTAGGTAAAGCCAGCAGCACAACTGCCCAGAAAGATTCAAGCAGAGCTAAAGCCCAAACGCAACAAAGCCAACGTTCAAAGTGAAACACAAAACCAAAATAAAATCGATAACTCTGATTAGTATGTTAGAATAGCTTTGATTAGCACTTAGCAATAAGTTAATAGCCACATTCAAAATAAAAATGATTTCAGAAAATGTGAAAATACAAATTTTATAGTTAACCAAACTATTCTACTAAAGCTTCCTTTTGTCGCCAATTCAGAAAGTTTATCTACATTGTCATTCGATCTTAAAAACTTTGGCAGCGTCTGGCTGCTCCCTTGCCATGACGTTTCGACATTTCTATTGCAGCTGCAATCTATAAAAGGATGGGATTTTAGAAATAACGTATACATTTTATTGAGCAGCGCTGGAATTACCTGCTGCCACCTGGTAATAGGCCCACAGCGCTAACAGTAGAAATGTAGGCAATAAAATGCGACGCATAACGTTTTGCTGTTCTAACTATTTGCTGATGTTTCAATACAATGTATTATATATTGGCAATTTGGCAACGCTGCTTTAGCTATGCTTCAATTCGGTTCCACTATAACTATTACTCGAGGCACTGCTGTAGTATTTCATTTCGAACAGTGCCTCAAAGCTGTATTGTTAATTGCTTTGTCTTGGCCAAGTATCATTGTGCTTGCTCGCAGGAAATCAAAGTTAACTACAGTTTGCTTTGTTGCTGTTGTAACTCATTGTTGTGTTGGCTTTTGTGTTGATTTTCCAGTCAGTCGCACTTTTTGCCTTTTGCAATTTAAGTTATGAAAAAGCGTTTCGTTTCGAACCATTCCCCGTTTTGCTTTGCTCAACACTGGATAAAGCGGGTAAAGCGGAACGAATGCTAACTTTACAACGGTTGGCATCACTGGCTAATAACGGAAGCTTGAAAGATTAAATAAAATCTCTAAAATAAATGTTTAAAATAAAATAAAAAATAAATTAAAAAATACAAATTTAATTATATTCAAAATTTACAAATAAAAATAAATACAAAATGTTTTTTAAGTAATAAAAAAATAATAAAATTATAAATTATGAATAAAAATATGTAAAAAATTAGATTTAAAATTTAAAAAATGAGCAAAATGAAAGAAATTAAAAATTAAAATTATATTAAGACATAAATAGATCATAAAAATAAATAAATAAAACTTTTATTTTTTTAAGTTTAGTAAATTAAATTTTATAAAATCCGAAGCATATCAAAATCAATCAAAAATAATTCATAAGGAAAGCTTATTTAGAGTACTTAAACCGCTTTTACAGGGTATAAACGGAGAGTATCGACATCTTTGTGTGCCTCCTAAAATGTTAGCTTTGTTCTTATTGTTGTTTTGTGTGTGTGTGTGTTTTTTTTTTTTGGCATTGTATGCATTTCACATGAGCCAGCAGCAATTCCTCATTTGCATTTCTGGCGGCGTTTTCCATTTGGTTTATTGCGAATTTTATTGTTTTGCGGTGCTTTATGGCACGACGTAGTATGTAAATATTTTTACAGAGCAGCTGCCGCCACCCATTTCTACAGCTTCTTCTACTCGACTGCCGCTTAAACATGCAGAAAAGTGCAATATTTGCTTGGCTATTTCAATCAGCGCCTGGACTCATGATGTTGTTGCTTTTGGCCTGTTGGCGAATTCAATTAAAATGCCTGGCTGCACACTTTTGGCTGGCATTGTCTGACGAACTTTGCGCCATTTGCTAAATAGCACGCTTAAATTTTATTAATTTAGAACAAAGCTCATTTACACAGCACGAGCTGCGACTGGCCTATTAAGCAAAAACTTTCCTTAACGCACAGCCTGTAAAAATAATGTGCTAAATGAGCAACGCTGCACGCTGGGGGCCTGCTTAGGGCAGCGTGGGCGTTTCTAGCAAATACAAATAAAATTAACTGAACTCAAAACAAATACCCAACTCTGGTGTCCAGTTTGTAAAGTGTTCAGCGTTGACTGTTGGCAAAAAAAAAAAAAAGAATGTATATATAATTAAAAACTAATTAAATGGGCTTGGCGCAACGCTTGTCGAGCTGATGCTGCTGCTGCTGCTGATGCTGTAAAACTTAATTAACTAAATGCTGGGCGGCAACAAAAACTAAAACAATAATAATAACTCCCAGTAAACTTTGGCCATTCAGCATCGCCAGTGTGCGCGGGCACACAGCTCATGGGGCGTATGAGTAATTTAATCATCTTGTTGGCATGACCGAAGCTTTTGTTGTCTTCCACAAATGCAATTTGTGTCATAAGCAAACGAGAAACTTACAGACCCGAAACGACCAAAACACAAAGTCAACAAAAGTTCGAAATGTGTGCCTGTGTGCGCCTCTGTGCGTCCGTGTGTGTGTCTTGGTTTTAAGAATTAACGCAGCCACAGAACAAGCGATCTAACTAATAAGGATGTTTACCAATGCGAACAAGCTTATATAAATAAATATATATATAGCCTTTATTTATTTTTAAATAGATTTAATAATCGATTTATATATAACAAGTATCAGTAATAGTCGAGACGGCTCGACTAGGAGCTACTCTGAATGGCAGAATTTGCTAATAGCCCTTTCTCTGCTGTTCTTCATTGTACTATTTTATGTTTACTTATTTGAAATTTATAGTTTAAATAGATTCGTTCCATTTCATACTCAAATTAAACTATAAATATGTATACGCTGAAGTATAAATGGATATAACACAGCTCGATTCGTTGCTTTTAAATTTTAAATATGGGAAGAGAAACATTTTCATTGACTTTGATTTGTCTATTATTGCTCAGGACAGAGCTAATTTCGGCGGGTAAGTTTAGCTATTTACTGGGCTTTCCATCGCTTTATACTCTTCGAATTTTACCTTATAGAAAACTCCATCATGAAAGTGCTAAGCTATTGGACAAAGAAAGCAAATGAATATGATAGTCGTCTGAATAGGTTTCGGAACATATTTGCAATAAATAAATTGTCAACAACAAAAAAGGGGAAATTTACAAACACCCTCGAATTGCATAGTCGTTAAAACTAAATATTTAATAAATGAACGAGTCACTTGGCAGTTGAATCTGTCGCTCTTTTTCTCAGACTTAAGTGCAACAGCTTGCTCACATTTTGTTGTTGTGGTTGAGCTTAGTCTGTAGTCCGAGTTCAGGTTTATCCGCTGCTATTGACTACATATTTGCTTTGGCATTTCTGGCTAGCTTGTGTATCCTGGCACTGTTCCACTTCCAAACGCCTGGCAAAGAGTTGAAAGCCATTGAGATTGAGTTGCATTGTTGTTGTTCGTGGCGGGATTTTGCCATTTCCTTTGCTTTGCCTTGGTCTTGAAGTGTGCTGGAAGCCATTTTGAATGTTTGATCGGGGGCTGGGTTAACACTTTGTCGACGAGTGTGTGTGCCTATGTGTGCTGTGCACACAGACAAACTGCAAAAAGAAAAGCCAAAGAAAGTAAAGCTACTTCTTGCCTCGCTGCCTTTAATGAAAATCGGCAGTTGCTGGTTCAGCAGCAAAAGGCAGATTAACAAACCAAATATGGCAACAGCTTGGCCAAAAGAATGTGCAACCGCCGTCAGGAAGAAGCATTCGCAAGCCTTAACAACAGCAACAATACTTGCCACATACAAACACACAGAATCACACTTAAAATGAGGCACAAAAACGCATATTGAAAACGCTTTGGCACCCAGTTGCTGGCTCCTCCATCTCCTCCTCAGGCATTACTTTGCCGACCCACTGACAATGACTGACCCGACATGATAGCAGCCAATGGGCAGCTCTGTGGCCATGCCCACTCAATTGTTGCCGAGTGCCACATTGTGTGGCCAAAAGCTGCTTTCATATGCTTAATTGAAATCGGCACTGAATGCAATCGAGCCATGCGGCAGGAGTGCGAGGGCAACGAAGAGTGAAAATGGGATGGGTTATAAGCAAAAATAGATAGCCGCAGAAACCACTTTGGAAACTGAACAGAAATTCAATTTGTCAATAATGAACAGCCAATGCGAATTATTCTATTCATACCTAAGTAGTTAGCGCTACTGTGCATCGCCGGGATAATGAAGGTCCTTACGGGACCTCCTGTGTTATGTGTGCTTGGAAATTTAACCTGATGAAATCAAATTTTGCAATAATTAAGATTGTCTTCAACGAAGTTTTTTTAAATAATGAAAAACTTGAAGCTAATTTCGTCATCTTAAAGTATGAGAAATTGCAAGAAAAGAAAGAGAAAAACATTTATCGTGTTTATGTAGAGATAATATGGATGAAAATCGTTCGAAATGCTTAAAGCTCACCTGGAGTAGCAAAGCCGAATCAGCAGTCAAGTGATAGAACCGAGAGGTTCTCTAGGCATGAAGAAAACTGCTTTTGTGTATTCAATTTACTAAACAACTAATCAACTCAATCTTTTGAGTGCTATGTGGGAGCTCGCATTGACTTGGTCATGGATAATTCACTCACTCAATCAAAACGAAGAATATCGAACTGCAGCTCATCACATAGCGTGTTGCAAAAAGAGGCAATCCTCTTATATCATTTATTTAAATATTATATTTAAGTTTTTATAATGCCTATGTTTAAGGCTTTACTTCTGTTGCTGCTCGCATTCTATCGTCTGGAGTTTTGGCAACATTTTTTCATTTGTGTTTGCTCGAGGAACGATGCCTGGTTCAGCTGACTGCTTTCCTAATTGCAATTTTAATTAAAAATGTTTGTCGATTTTTGGACAGGTATTTGCTTGCTGCCCCATTACGTGCCCTCTTTTGTGGCATGTAATGGTATTTTTTTTAGTGGTCTTCCAGCTTTTGCTATTGGGCTTAATGGGTAAGATCCAAATTGCACAATTTACATAATTTCAGGCTGCAAATGACTTTGGGTTCGTCTTGCCCGCACTGCAACTAGAATGCGGACTGCAGGCACAACAATCCAAAATTGAAACTGTTGCTAATGAGAAGTCACCTGTACTTGCGTTCCCATCCTCAGTTACACGAAGGCCATCGTCAAAATTTGTGTGCATAGCTTATAAATGAGCTTTGGTCTCTGTGCCGGCATCCAGCAGTCAGCCCCAGAGTCGAGAGATGTGTGACCACACAGTTTGCAAGTGTTAAGGGCAACAGCTCAACGAGGCCCTCGCCTGTCCATAATCGGAACATAATCAGCCAAAACAACCAACAACAACAACAACGTCAACTCAGCTTAACAACACGTCACAAACAACAACAAACAACTGTGATGCGATTTCGTGGTTTAATTTGCATATGTTTTTCGGAGTGCAGAGGTAAACGATTATAATTGAAGTTCTGCATGCTCAACTGGACAAATATATGTGCACTGGCTGTGACTGGCTGAATAGTTGGCATATAACTGTCTTTATGTGTACCTGACCCAGATCTCTGCGCTGCACACAATTTTAAGCTTTGTTCATAATTGTTGTTGAATCCTGCTTTATATCCATCCAAGAGGAAGCTCTTTTCCCCCCTTTCTCCCTGCTCTTTCTTTCTTTCTCTTTCAAGTAGGCAAAGACTTGTAAATGACTTTTTTTAAAATCATTTTAGTAATTTTAAAGTTACAACGGAACACTCAATTTATTCACAATTTAATTTCAGCCAAATTTCCAAACATTGCTTATATTAAAACCCTTTCGACGTTCAGTACAAGATGGATATGGACTTTGATTATGCCACACCACCGCCCGAGGAGCGCATCATACGTACGCACAACTTGAACCAAGAACAGGAAGCCGATCTAAAGCTTGCGTTCTCACTGTTTGATACCAATGACACTGGCATTATACCCATGAAGCAACTGAAGGACATTTTACATGCCGTGGCCCACAACCCACCCGAGCATGAGCTGCAGGACTATTACAGTGAATACGATCCTAATGGCTCGGATGAGCTATACCTCAGCGATTTTCTGCACATCATGTCCACACGTTACGCCGGACAAATGCCGGAGGACGAGGTCATACTGGCATTCAAGGTCTTCGACAAAGATGACAACGGCTGGATACACGAAACCGTGTTCAAGCAAATGATGAGTGCTTATGGCGACGATATGAATGAAGATGACCTTGATCAAATCCTATTGGATGCCAATTCAAATACCGAGGGCAACATCATTTACAGAGATTTTGTTGCCATGATGACTCAGCGTTAGAGCTGAGCAGGCTACGAAAAACAAATTGTAACTTTAAAACAACAAGCATGCTAAATAGTCAATAAACATCATTACATTTGGATACAACGAGCTCTGTTTACAATTACGAAATTGTTAGTCCTTACGATAAGATCCAACGATGAATCCAGATCTGACTGAGGAACAGATTGCTGAGTACAGGGAGGCATTTGCCCTCTTTGATAAGAGCAATACCGGCATGATCAGCATTCGGGAGTTGGGCAACTTAATGCGATCACTCGGACAGAATCCAACAGATGCAGAACTTAGGGATCTTGTCAATGAGGTCGACACTACAGGCAATGGCTCGATTGAATTTGTCGAGTTCTGTAATCTGATGTCCAAGCAGACGGCAGACAACGATGCCGACGAGGAACTTCGCGAGGCATTTAAGATCTTTGACAAGGACGAAGACGGTTTCATATCTCCAGCTGAGCTGCGTTTTGTAATGGTCAATTTAGGCGAAAAGTTGACAGACGAGGAGATCGATGATATGATACGTGAGGCGGACTTCGACGGCGATGGCAAAATCAATTACGAAGAGTTTGTCTATATGATAACTCAAAAGTAAAATTTCGCAAAGAAATACTTTTTCACCGCTTTTCTAACCATAATTATGAAAATTTATGAAATTAAAATTGTTATGAGAAATGTAGCTCTACGTATGTCTTTCGTGGTAGTATGTTTCTTATAGCCTCAAGCTCATGATAAGCCAAGCTTACTAAGTAAAACTGCGATTGCGAATAGAATTTTCCTATGCAATGTGGTCATCAAATGATCTACTGCGCTTAGGTTTATTATACATATATATACACATATGAGCACATATGTAGATACACCTGTGCTTGTGTATGTATGCATCTATGAATGACAGTAAGTTCGACTGTAAATATGTATGTATAAAAATGTACTTTACTAATTTGCCTCACAAACATTCACAGGACTAAGTTGGCGACGAGAGGAGACGTATCTGATGTAGAGCTACGAATTTAGTCAGTCTGTAATTACTTAAACATTTGGATAGAATAAGCTCTAGTGCTGTACGAAATTGATAGTCCTTCCGTATATATTCAAAAATGAATCCGGTCGAACTAACTGAAGAACAAATTTCAGACTTTAAGGAAGCCTTTCTTCTCTTTGATAAGGAGAATACTGGTTTGATCAACACTCGTCAATTGGGGAATTTAATGCGGTCTTTGGGCCAGAGTCCCACCGATGTTGAGCTTAAAGAAATGTGTAATGAAATTGATCCCCTTGCCTCTGGGCAAATTGATTTTAATCAGTTTTGCAACGTCATGGCGAAGCAGACACAGGAAAACGATTCAGACGAGGAGCTCCAGGAGGCGTTCATGATCTTTGACAGGGACGAGGACGGCTTCATATCTCCAGCTGAGCTGCGCTTTGTGATGGTTAGCTTGGGCGAAAAGTTAACCGATGAAGAGATCGACGATATGATACGTGAGGCGGACTTCGACGGCGATGGCAAAATCAACTACGAAGAGTTTGTCTATATGATAGCACAGAAGTAACAGTTTCCCTTCAGAATTGTTTATTTTTCAGACTATTTATTTGCTCACAATTAGGCACTAAAACAAATTAAAGCTCTTTGTAACAGGAAACGTGGTTCAGAGTGTTGCTTTGATGGTTCGTGGTCCGTGGTCCGAAGTTCAGTCTAACCACAAGTTCATCATCATCATCATCGTTGTCATAGTGAACCAGGTTGTCTTTGGGGTTGATTTCACTGTAGTGTTAACTCGCTTTTGCGTAAATTTCATGTTTCAGTTCCTTTGGTCGACTATTTTAAGAGACTTTTTAGGCTAGCCCAACAACTCGATGCCATGTGATGTGAGCGGCTGGGCGTGCCTTCCAGCAGAGCACCTTTGTGGCTTGAGAGCAATTTGCCTGTTGCTTAAACTCAATTTACTTATGCATCAGAATTAAATTCTACCCTGGTCTCGACTCCATCTGAAATGGGCTGTAGTCTGAAATTTTTTCAATTTTGTGCCATATCTGGACTGCTGTTATTTTTGCATATTGCTTAACAAAATGCCAGCTTAGCTTAATTGCAAGTTCAAAAAACATTGAAACTGAAATCGATGCACCTCACGTGTAAGCGATTCAAAAGACCAAAAAAAAAAAAAAGCAAAATGAATGAAAACTCCAGATTTCAATTTCAGATTCAACATCAATAAGCACTTTTGCAAGAGCATAAATATAATATGCACTGGGAGACCGAAAGAGGGAGACAGAGAGAGGAGCGTATAGACAGTGAGAGTTGTACGGAGAGAACGGTATACAGACTGCAGTTAGTACATATATCCCGGCAGACACAGGCTCTGGGGCTCGGCATGGCGACAGATGTCATTTGTGGGTCCAACGACTGCGAAAGGAAATTGAATCTCTATGTGTCTGAGTTAGTGTGTGTTCGTGTATATGTGTAGATGTTTATGTGTTGTTGTTGGCTTTGGTAGTGCTTTGCTATGAGTAGGGCTGACAGCTCCAGCATGAGGTCATTATATTTTGACATTAATGAGATGCAAGGAAAATTGAGCGAACATTTAAAATTAAAGTCCAGGATATTAGTTTAAAGTCCATCCCATTGCGGTTTCAACTAGAGTGAAGAATGCACAAGATTATTATTATTTGTTCAATTTCTCTAATGGCCATTATTTTTTTATCAATTTATTTATTAAATTAAAATAGAAATAAAATCAACAAATTTAAACGAAAATTATTTTTTAAAAATATAAATATTTTAATTTTTATATATATTCTTAGGATCGACCATTTTTATAGAGTATTCCGTGTTCGGCTATGCCAATTTCATTTTTTCAATGCATTTCCCAAAAACGTGCATTCACCATCGATTTCATGTAGAATTTTTTGCGGTTTTTTGCCACACCCACTGCACACACATACACCTACGCCCACTCGGAGTGTCATTTGGGACACTTTTGCACATGTACTTGGCCACGCAAAAAGGCGCATGCAAGTGCCACGGACGAACACGAGGACGAGGACGCGCACAAGGACGAGTCGAAGTACTCTGTAAATGTGCAAACGCCACATGGCAGCAACAAGAGATGCAAGCAAATGAGTTTTTGGCAGTATGGCCAGTGGGTGTGGCGGAGGGGGCAGAGGCCAGTGGTGAGTTCTGGCAGCTGCGGTTGTCAAGAGTCCGTTTGCTGTAACTCAACTTCACTTAAATATTTTGGACTATGCAACAATTCCCTGTTAATTGGTGGTAAAAACAGACAGAGCCTGAAATCCCAATCAAGTTGAGTAACCTTCAAAGATGCTCTCCAAGGTAAGCGTAGCGCATCAACTAAAACCCCGAGCTCTTTTACGACTACTAAAAGCACGAAGCGCTGTCGTTCAATCATATGCCTAAGCCCTCTGTTTGGACGGCGGTTACCCTTTTCGGATTAACAGATCAACGCACAAATGGAGGCCCAAATCATCGTCTGGGGACTTGGCCAGTTAACAAACAAGCTGACCCTTTCGATAAGGCTGATAGCTTATCGAGACCAAAGGGCGCACACAACAGTTGCAGATAGGCAAAGCCGCTGCGGCTTTGATGACCCAATTAAATTTACAGCCCAAAAAAAGACAGCAAACTATCTGAGCCAAACACATTTGTGCGCAGTAAACACGCCCAAACTTAAGTGTTGTAAAGCGTGAAATAACTTGAGATGAGCTGGACACACAGGCAATAATGAGATTAGAAAATAAAATGTTACGACGATAGCCAAGTGCTTCAATATGCCAAAACAAATATTTGTATACTTTGAAAACAAAAACAAATGAAAAAAAAACAATTTGATGTGCCTTTCTTAAAAGCAATTATATAATTGGATTACTGCTGTAGTTTTATAAATAAATATTAAACAAATCGTTTATATAGACATATCAAAGAAAGCGATAAAAAAATGTTATTATATTTTATTAAAGTCATTTCGAATATCAATAAATCGATGACTTTAAATTTTTTCTTGTTTCCTGCACGGCTAGTAGCAGAGGATGTCTGGCATACACTTTTTTTACACATTTTTTGCAAACCTGTCAGTTGACTTCAAGTTGCAAGGAAAAGCCCAAGTGGCTTCGCTGCTCTTAGGAAACATTGCGTTAAATTGCGTGGAAAAGTTATGCAATGTGGCTGATTTTCAATTTCCCGCCGCAACGTTTGTGGCTTTTTGCTTCCGCCTACTTTGCGGTGTGTTTCATTTTTATTTTCCATTCGGAAAGTTGACTTGGCAAACTACTTGAAATGTGAAAATGCTCGAGCGGCAAAAGGAATGGAAAACTTGCAGCAACTTTGAAGGCTCACGTAATTATGAGCATTATACAGCTGACTCAACCTGGTAAGCCCGGTGGCTCCAACTGCAACCGGCTGTCCACCAACGGCGACCACAATCGCTGCGCAGTCGCAGCCACGCGCATCAGCAAAGGCTCAGCAACGGCATGTATCAAATAGGAAAAATAGGAAAAATGCGGCTAACAACGATACTGACAATAACTTTAAGAGCTGCAAAGGGGGTTCTAAAAGCAACGTCGAAGACCGCCCACAACGCGGAGCAAGCCTCTGTCACCAAACTGGTCAAGCAGCAGTTGGCAGATAGGGCGCATGCCGCTGCCTAGGCAGCGGAAGCAGCGCAGTCCGGCAAGCAGCAGGTCATGGCACAGATCAAGGAGAAAAAGTGGTGGCGGAAGTCGCGCTGCGCCTCATTGCATTGCCAGGGCGCAATCCACGTTAAAGTCGGCCAACCAGGCAGAGCAGGTTCTATCGTCTCTATCTATCTCAATGACGCCAGGGTAACTGCCAACGGTGCTTAGAAGAAAAGACCCAACTGTTTGATGTGGATCATAAAAGCATCGATGAACTTGAAAAACGCCAACTCTAATTGTGCAGTGAGCGAAATATCAAAAAACTGCCTACAAAGCATACTGTGCCTTGGTCCAGGGTAGCGAAAAGGCTAGAGAGCGATGAACGCCAAGGCATCATCAGGCACAGCAACAACTGCAGCAATAGCTACAAATTGTGCCCAGCGACAGTAATTGAATTTCTTAAAATTTTATTTCCTAAGCCTGTAAATTAATATGTAACGTATTTATGTTTTACTGATGGCACACATTTATATTTATCAAGTATCTACTAGTAGCACAATCAGACTTTCGAATCGAACATTGAAGTTTACCATGTGCAAGCTAAGCAATATTTGTTATACTATGTATCCTAAGTAGACTCTGTTTCTTTAGTAACTCTTGCTGCATGTAGGACTGCAAATGTGGATTATATAATCATGTATTCCTGCCTCAAATAGAGTGTCCCTTAGAGTTTAGAGTGAGCTCACCCATAATGGATAAGTTCTTAGGCTGCACGCAGCAAGTTGCATCTATGCTCACATGAACTCAATAAGCTATTCATATAGCTATACATTCTAGGACTTTCGAGTAGTATACTCCATTCTTCCATCCAGTGTGTCACAGACTCTATTCTAAGCTTGTTTAGGTATGATGACAGCGTTAAACAATCTTTTTAATCAATCAATCGTATACATTATTGTTAGATATATATTTTTATTGGATTGCGCCCATATGCCACGCAATCAACTTTCGTTTATGTGGCATCCATGGTCACGTTATTGTTAAGCATGTATAGAGATGTCTGGCAACATTCCAGCCCACAACATGGTAATTTAATGCGAAATGCGACTTCTATAATACGGAATGTTGCTATGGCCGGACGGAAATCCTTTGAGAGTTTTTAGCGCCAAACGATGTGGGCGAAGCCCGAAGGATGTTTTGAAGGTGGTGCCACAAAGGACCCAAAAGGACAATAAAACAATTTGACCAAAGCCATTTCGTTATAAGTTTTGACAGACTTTTTGTCAGCTTAGGGCCCCCTTGTTTGCGGGTAATGCGATTGCGACAGGGCGTGGCACCCAAAAGTTTCCCTTTTTTGCGCACGTTTTCAATAATTTTTAGTTTTTCAATGGGTGTGGCCGAAGAGTCGGCTGGACAGGTCAAGTATTTGTTATTTATAATGAGGGAAAATAAATCAAATATATATGTATTTTAAAAAGAACATTTGGGTTTTTTTGGTGTAAGATTTCAGCAAAAAAGTTGTGAACAAATACATATTTGGAGTGTCATTAATTGGGCCATCAAGTGCAAAGTCCTGAATAAGTTGTTTGGGGACTTCCAAAAAAGTTGCGGACAAGCACTTAGAGAGCAAGCATTTCCGTAAGCCCGTGGGACGCTTGAGCTGCTGATCGGTTAATCCCCCAAGCAGAACGATGGACATGCCAAAGGGGTTTTGCTTTTGCGGATTTTGGCCAGTTGATTGAGTGGCAAGAGTTTTGTTTTTCGGTTCGTTTTGGCTACCGCTTTGGTGTCTTAACACTTGGCATATTAAGCCGCATGCGGCCTAAATCACTGACTGCTTTTCGACCGAAAAATGTGGGTAGTGTATATATATATATATATATATATATATATATATATATATATATATATATATATGATGACACTTTAGTGCCAACACAAGCTGCCAAGTGTTGATCGCTCAATTGCCAACAGCAACAGCAGCAGCAGCAGCAAAAAATACTAAAAGTCAGACCAACATGAAAAGCTCTCTCTC